TTTTCTTTATTTATTTTTTTTTTCTTTTTTTTTTTGTTCTTTCTTTTTTTCGTTTTTTTTTTTTTTTGTTTTTTTTTTTTTTTTTTTTTTTTTTTTTTTTTTTTTTTTTTTTTTTTTCTTTGGAGGTACATTATGCTTGGACCTATTAGGGCCAGATGGGCCCTATATGGCTAGGACCAAGGCTAGACGGCCCATTGCCAATCCTAAAGAATAACGTGGATGGATCTATATGATAATATTGCCTGATTTGTGCTGCAATGCCAAATATCAACCATCTACTCGAATTTGTAGTAGAGATGGAGTGACCTCCCACAGGTACCTGTGCAGTGTTAATTTCACCTTTGTATATCAAAACTGATAATCTCGATTCAATCGTTTGATCTATATTGAGAATTAATAGTGAACATGAGGTTGGTTCCTAATTAAAATTAATAATCGATTAAATTCTCGTAAAACTAATTAGTTTTGTTAGAGAACTGAGTGATTTGACTTGACGAGATCCCACATCTTTATCTTTTAATTATTATCTTTTATTTATTTAGATAATTTTTATTGGGGAGAATCAGCAGGGTGACATGAATCGACAAATTGCTAACTAAAACTGATTTTGTTGATGGCCGGTTTAGCCCACCGATCCGCGTTTAAAACTGACTGATCAATGGATATCGTTGTCGTTTACGGTGCTCCACACATTCTATACGCCAGTAGAGTATGATATGCTTTTCTGTTCACAGTTCACCAGCGCATCTTATTTCAGTTATTTCCATTGTACCCCTTAAATCTTTACCCATATATAAATCGGCCTTTTCTCTCTCTTATTTGACCCTTTTCTTCTCTGAAACTTTGAGGTTTTTGTCTCTCTAGATTTTGGGGAGCTCTGCTCATAAATTCCTGTCAAAGCAATATAGTGCACTAAGATTTTTGCAGAGGATTTTTAGCAGAGCTCTGTCAAGTTACTTTTCTAACCTTCCTGCTTTTTGTGTCTTTTCACTGTGACTAAAGCCTAACTTATTGGAAATCTCTGATCTCTGCAACTGCCATAAAATCCCAGTTCCTGATCATTCTTTTTGGGATCTTTAAAACCTGAAATTATACTTTAATTCTTATACGTTTTGGTGGAGTTTGAAAGCCTGGTTCTTGGCCTAAATTTTTCTCAATACCGGAGAAGAAAGCAAGTTCTTCTGATCAAATTTTCAAGGTTCACTTGAGACCAGTTGTAGAAGCATTCGGTTATTCTCTGATTTTTCAGTCAAACTGAAGTCTTGTTCTCAAATTTTCGGTAAGGGATCTTTTATATCATGGTATTTATCATGAATATGTGATAAGTTGATATGAATATGTGAAATATTTCTTGCGTTTTGTCTGGATTTTGGCACTTATTTTGGACAAAAATGTTGGTTGTTGGATATTATTCGGGATTGAAATGTGCACAATTGAGCAGAGCTTAGAGTAATATACGGTTCATACTTGTTTTGTCGAAAGTTTGCTTTTTATCAACTTTTCTGTTGTTTTGATTCCTGGATTTGGCCATGGAGTGAATGGGGTGGCAATGCAGTTAGATTTATATACTGTGTTTCGTTTTTGGGTTGGCTCTTTATATTATGGAGTTTATACTGAAGGTTTCCTTTTTCCTATGAGGAAATCTGAAAATTCAAGTTCCTTGAACTACTGAATAATTTCTGAAAAATCGTTAATGGATACATATTAAATTTAAAGATAACAAGCTGACCAGACAGTAACAAATTGCTATATGGTTTAAATAGGGTGTTAGTTATACCAAACTGGCCAAATGGTGCCGGGATGCTAATTGAAATTCGGAGACTGAAGGGTAATGGTTTAGATGTGTTTTTGTCATATCCCAAACGTAAGATTTCATACTTGTGTCAGGCACGGACACTTCAGATCCTGCGAGGTAATAGTACCAACATTTAGATCCAGTTCTACCCAAAGTTTTTTGGTTCACCCCAACATTACCCACTTCTTGTCTGACTATTGCTGAGCAGTTTTTGGATAGCAAATGAAGCTCCCTAGAAGGCACTTCTTGTCTGACTATTGCTGAGCAGTTTTTGGATAGCAAATGAACCTTCCTAGAAGGTAATCAATGTGGCGAAGAAAACCCTAATCTTCTTTTATATATATATATAAGTTTAAGTATAAGAATACTCATTAATAAGAGGAAACGGCATTTATATGTACAGAGAGTTCTGCTGAGTTTTCTTTAGGAGTTCGGAGAGCTAGGAGAATAATTCTCCAATCTAGTGGTGACAATTTTAGAGAGAAAGAGTGAGAGTTTCAATGGGTTGTATCAAAGATTCTGGGGCTTTGTTCGTGGTCCAATGGTGACAATGAGAGAGAGAGAGAGAGAGAGAGAGAGAGAGAGAGAAAGAGAGGCAGTAGATGATTAGGGAGGTCAACAGTTCTAACCATTGAAGTTTGTCAAGCCCAAGCATGCTTTCCTTTCTATTTTTATTGAGGTTGAAAGTTAGATGCTTATTGCTGAAATGTTGAAACATGGTTATTGTTCCTTTTGAAACCATTTAATTCACTGTAAACATTTATTGATATTCACTAAACAATAAACCTTGCTATTATGCAGGAGCACTCAGCCATGGGTTTGTGGATTTTTGCATATGGGAGTTTACTTTCGAATCCAGGATTTGAATATGATGAGAAAATCATAGGCTTCATCAAGCACTACAGACGTGTATTTGATCTTGGTAAGCTTTTCCAATTTCCTTGCAGCTTATTGTCATCAATTATCAACCTTGTCATTATTTATACTAATACTAGTTTGGGTAATTTTAAGCTGGTAATCTCATTTGTTGAATCAAGTTCCAAATGAAGTTTCTCCTGTTGTGTTTTCAAATGATCACAGCTTGCATTGATCATAGAGGAACCCCTGACTTTCCAGCCAGAACATGTACCTTGGAGGAAGAGAAAGAGGCAGTCTGTGTAAGTTGGAGACACATTTTAGATCTCTTATGCACTGATAATTTATGGGACTAAGTGATCATGCTTGTGTTTTCTGTAACAGTGGGGAGTTGCATATTCTGTTAAAGGAGGGCTGGAAAAGGAAAGAGCGATCTTGCAAGTAAGAGTTATAATAATTATTGCTCTCTCCGTTAATTAAAAATAAAACAGAAAAAGAAAGGAAAAATGCTCTATCTGTTGTACTGATTATTGCTTATAGCCAAACATCAAACTTTTGTTTTATCTGATTGCAGTATCTGGAGAGAAGGGAATGCGAATATGATTTAAAGGTTTATACAGATTTTTACAGGGTACGTAAATTTTATGCACGAGTAATTGCTGTTGAAATGTAGTAAATTTCATGCATGAACAATACGACTTAAAGGGAATAGGATATTGTGCACTTTTTCCCTTTAACAACGTTAGCACTTTCCCCCGCCTCCCCCCGAAAAAAAATAAAATAATTTATGTTGAAATTGGAAACACTTTTGGAATGAGTTTGATTTTTAGACCATTTTTTGGTGATACAAGTATGTATGAGTTTACATCATTATTTTTCTTACTTTCATTAATTTATTAAAATGGCTTTAATTACCTTGGAAATAAAGTATCAAATCAACTATAAATATTGAAAATATCAACTTTAGTTTGACCAATGTGAAATTTGGCTTAAGCATGTGTAGCTTCATCAAGTCACACTAACGCACGATGCTTATTCATTCTATGCTTTGTAAAATTTTAATGACCTATGATGCTCAATGTTTCTTGTCTTTAGTTTTTGTTTTAGTCGAGTATGCTCTTTATCGGTTCTCGTAAAATTTTGTTTGTTTTTTTTGCCTTTACTAAGATATTCTATTTTAGCATTGCAAAGTTTCATGGAATTTTGGATAATAGGATTAGATTATGGATATACAATGAAAAATTCATAGATGACTGGAAAAAAAAGTTCAAGTTCCATTAGGATGCAACCAATGGAAGATAACTAGAGGGAGTAAACAAGAATATTAAGTTGGGGAAGTCCTCTTGAATTTCCTCTCGTATGAGGAGATTCACTTCATAATTGGCTTCTTTATGCACGAGAGGCCTCCGGCAGGGTGACCCCTTATCCCCCTTCCTCTTTGCGATCTTTGCGGAAGTGTTCAGCCGATCTCTAAATCGACTTTTCCAAGCTGGCTTGCTATCGGGTTTTCAAACATCTAGGAGAGGGCCTACGGTGTCACATTTGCAATATGCAGATGACACTCTAGTATTTCTCGATGCCTCCCCCACTGAAAGGATCAGGGACCTCATCCCATGCTGGGATTGTAAAGTGGAGGATCTCCCTACTTCCTATTTGGGACTCCTCCTAGGTCTAGGCAAACCCAAAAAAGGTCATTGGTCCAACGTGGTTGACAAGGTGGACAGAAGGCTGGTTGGCTGGAAGGGTAGATACCTGTCCCAAGCAGGTAGAACCACCCTTATCAAAGCCACCTTATCTAATGCTCCAGTTTACATGATGTCACTATTCCAAATACCAGCCTCTATGGCCAGCAGACTGGAACAGCTCATGAGGAATTTCCTCTGGTCAGGAAAAGCCTAGAAAACCAAGTTTCATCTCATTTCCTGGGATACTGTTCTATAACCCAAGAAACAGGGTGGTTTGGGCATTAGAAATTTGAGGAAACACAATTTTGCTCTGTTAGGAAAATGGTGGTGGCGTCTTACTGTCCAACCTGATTCCCTTTGGGCTCAGGTCCTTTGACATAAATATAATATCCCGGCTCTCGCTTGGATCCCTGATACTAGAGCTTGGTCCATTGATTCAGGGGTGTGGAAATCCTTGACTACCACCCTTGAATAATTTAGGCAACATGTCAGATTTTGTCCAAGAGTTGGTTCTAGAGTACTTTTCTGGACTGATCTTTGGATCGGCCAAAGCAAGCTCAGAGATAGCTTCCCTGCCTTGTTTCTTTTGGCCAGAAATAGAGAAGCAACAGTACAAGACGACATTAGCTTGGAAGGAGGAAGACGCCGTTGGCACCCTACCTTTAGAAGGGACCTTTCTGAGACTGAAACCTTGCAATTCCTCTCACTCTCGTCTTTACTTTTCAACATTTTCATCCCCTCTCAGGGAACAGACAAGCTCGTGTGGTTCCTCACCCCTTCAGGGGATTTCACTGTGCTTTCTTTCTACAAAACACTCACTCTACCACCTAGCTTCCCCCTTAATCCGATCTCGGTTCTCTTTCAAGTATGGAGGTCTATCGCACCCCCTAAGGTGCAAATGTTCAATTGGATAGCACGCTCGGGCAAGGCCCTCGCGGTGGACCAACTTCAAAGAAAGGGTTTCTCCCTTCCTAATAGGTGCACTATGTGCTTGTCTCAAGAGGAATCCAACAGCCATTTGTTTTTAACCCATGACTTATGGGGTCAGATCCTTCAATTGTTCGGGGTGCACTGGGTCTTACCCTCAATGGTCAAGGACCTCAGTTAACGTCGCTGCCCACTGGCCTAAGGCTGGCAAGATTCTATGGAGAGCAACTGTGGCCGCTACAGTTTGGACCCTGTGGACAGAAAGAAATGCTCGTATCTTCCGGGGGACAGTCTCTACTGCCAAAATGCTCTTTGGCAAGGTTGCATCCTTAGTAACCTTCTGGGCATCTCAACTCCCACTTTTCAATGGGAGAATGTCCTCAGGCACAACCCGAAGTATCAGAAGATTAAACCCTCTTGGTTACCGCCCCCCCAAGGATGCATCAAAATAAAATTCGATGGTTGCTCCTTTGGCAACCCTGGCCATGCCGGGGCTGGTGGGGTTTTCAGGGATCACCATCAAAACATCATTTTCACCTACTAAGAATATCTGGGTATACAAGATTCTCAATTCGCAGAATCCATGGCTCTTCTTAGAGGCCTTTAGCGTTTTGATCGGTCTTGGGGAAGCTCCCTCATAGTGGAGAGTGATGCTAAGAACATCATCAGTTGGGCATCCAAGTCTTTGCCCCCTCCTTGGCATCTCATTACAATTTTTGATGAGGTTAACTATCTTTGCAAGGAGATAGACAGTGTCATGGATACATATCTCGAGGACATCGAACGGGCTCGCAGATTTGCTAGCCAAGGATGGAGCCTCGATCCCCAATGAGGATTAACCACGGCCCTCACTTTTTCGCTGCCTGGGTCCTTCTGTGCGCACGACATGTTATCTCCCCTCAGCAGGATTTTGGGTTTTCTTTCTCTTTTTTTATTTTTTTAAGGCACAACTGTACATGATGTAAGGGGAAATCATATAACCCCATTTTGTTTACGGGTCACAAGATGTAAGGGGAAAGTTTATAACCCCATTTTGTATACGCTCCCTTAACCCAATCTTTTTTACCAGGAGTCTCTCCTGGAATAACCTTGTACCCCCCTTCTTCACAGCAATACAAAAGTTAGTAGTCATCAGAAAAAAAATTTGGCTTCTTTATGCACAGGTGAGAAGGATGGTGACACTCCTTCCCCTCTTTAAGATTCTTCTCTCCTCTATAATTTTAGTAAGTCTCCATGGGTAATTTGTCTTCCTGAACTCTCAAAATATGTTAGGAACATGCAATAGAATGCTGAAACTCTTTGCATTATGTGAGACTGCAAGGCTATAGAAAGAGTAGTCCTTTGTATTCTATGAATTTAATCTTTCTAGTATTTATTCTGTTTGTTTCGAAAAGTAGTTTGAGGACATATCTTTCACTACAGAGGCTTTTTATCATGTAAGTTGACATAAGGCAATGATTTATGAGACCTGCCAGCAATGTTGGTGTGACCCATGTTCAAGAAAATTTCTCACACTTTACATGCCTAGAGGCAATGGAAGAGGAGGTGGTCTACTGTTTCCTCTTTCATCCCACACAAGAAAGGAAACTTTTGTGGTCTTTCATCTTTATCGTTCGTTATTGTCCGTGCTAACTATCTTGCTAAAGGATGCAATTCATGTGATGGAGACAGCACATGGGATGGGTTGAGTCCTCCAAACTAAGTGCCCTGAGAAGCCTCATCCGTTGCCCCCGATTGTCCTACAAAGCTTTTAATGGAAAATTGATCTTTAGATACTGTACAAATCCGACTTTAATAAGCTATTTTTGGCCCACGAGTGAGGAACACTATCTTTGAAGCCTCATCCATTGCCCCCGATTGTCCTACAAAGCTTTTAGTGGAAAATTGATATGTAGATACTGTACAAATCCCACTTTAATAAGCTCTTTCTGCCCCACGAGTGAGGAACACTTTCTTTGAATGACTTAACAAGTCAAAATTTGAATCATATCCCATTCAGCTGGGTTGCCTTTAAACCTACGGACACCGAACCATTTAATCCCCCTCCCGCCTAATCCCTTACAAAAACCTCCAGAAAAAAAGTGAAAAGTAATTGGTTTTCAAGTCTTACCCTTGCGCCTGAAAGGTATTTAGAGTCAAACCTAATTGCTTCTTTTGATCTTCCTTTGAGTGCATCAGAAAATTTCTGTGCCCTAGAGGGGAGGCTTGCCTCCCCATAGCCCTTCAAGAACCTGTTGCACCTTTTCTTGGGTTCTTTTTGAAGCTTGAGAGATGTATAACATTCGCATTTTTATTCATCGTATACGTATCAGTGTATTACCCAGATTAATTGGGTTTACTGCCATGTCAGTGGGGACCTATTTTTGGTATTGTTATACCTTTTAGTTTTGGAAAGCTGTTAATTATGTATTTGTGACAATTTCTTAGGCTTGCTTTCAGATAACTTGTTTTAGGTTGCCAATTACTGTCTCTCTAGGGTACAAGTTATTGTAGTTCAGATGTAATTCATATTTCTTTATTTTTCTCTTAGGAAGGAGAGGATTCACCAACTTTGACTGGAGTTATGTTGTAAGTAGATCAACCACTTTACGTAAAATGAACATACACTTTGAAAACAATTCTAGCTCATCGACTTTTCTTTTCTTAGGCTCCTCATAGACCGTCATGGTTTGCAGATTTATCTCCACTCCAGATGAAGAAACAAACAAGTATTACCTGGGCCCTGCTTCAGTTGAGAACATGGCAAGGTAAGCCCAATATCTGTATTGGCTGTGCCTTCATGAATCTCATTTTCTTACAGTTAAGGATCATTAGCCATAACTTTTTTTGACTCGCCTATTAATTTGAATTTAGCCACATCGCATGTTTGAGCCATTAGTGTTGCCAAAATTTTCTCACAGAGTTGTACCTTGCACATTATAATCATCATTGCATCAATGCATTCTGAATACTGCTACGGTTTTTAGAACTTTTGTACATATACACACAACCGCGTGGATAGGGTGAGAGGGGTGTCAAGGAAATTAGAGAGAGAGAGAGAGAGAGAGAGAGAGAGAGAGAGAGAGAGAGAGAGAG